ATTCAATAGCATAGAAATTGATTGGACTATCCTGCTCTCAATTGCTAAACAAACTAGAGAATGACCCAAGAACAATCCCGAAACATTTGTATGAACTGTGTGGCCAAACATTTGTTTTCAAGATCAGGTTGGGAGATTCAAACCTCAAGGAAGGATATCAATCTTATAATATAGTGAAAGTATTTCCTGTCAATCATAAACTGGAGAATGAATACAAACTATAGGAATTGGACAAGGTTAGTATAGACTTTGATATAAATTTGTTAATTTGTCCAGATTATTCAAGTAATATGAACATATTGTATTAAAAAATAGGCAACGGGTGGAGAAGATGGCACAGACCAAAAAAGTGAAGAAGAAGATGAATTACATGTATTAGTGGCAGATGTTACTAAACGTGGTGTTGAACATCGTGACCATGACACAGCAACAGACAAATCAACTTTTGAGAAGACAGATATAGCAGTTTGAAAAGAAGAACGAAGTGAACTGAAAAAAGATAGGCTTGAACAAAGTACATCTACTAAGCAAAATTATCATGGCAATGAAAAGGAAAAGGAAAAGTTGTGATAAAATGTGTAAGCATTAGTTTGCACGAATGTTATTCATGACCACATTCAATAATAATTTTTTGACATTCTTATAGAATTATTTTTATATTGAAACGAAACAGGGTTTAAAAAAAATTATTTTAACAGTACTTTTTGTCATAAGTAATATATATTTTAAAACATATTATAAACATTATTGCAAAAACACATAAAATATTTACATATGTTTATAAACTTTGTTGCAAAAACAGATAAAATATTAACAAATGTTCAGTATTTGTACATATTATATTAAATACCATAGATCAAGTATCAACATCTGGAGTAATGTCAGAAACAACCTGATTTGTCTGTTTTGCTTGCAATTGTAATTGCTCCAAGAAAGCAGGATTTTCATTTGGAAACCGCAACTTAAATTCGTTAACATAGGCTGCTTGAGTTTCGAAGAACATCTAAGTTAGTAAACCACAAGTTTCATTCTTGTTTGCTTCAGATAACAAATTCTATTTAGTATTGCAGTCAAATAATTCTTTTCCCTGTCTTTTAAGAAAACAAACTTCTTCATGATTTTTTTTCACAATTTTGTCCAGCAACTTTAACTATCTCCTCATGATCCTTTAATTCAATTATGACTTCTGCATATCTGTTCTATAGATAGGTGTTTTCAACTGTAAGTTTTTGCTTTTGTATGTCTAGATTTTTTTTTTTTCTTTTTCTATAGTTTAACAATGGTATTGCCAAACCCTCACCAACGTCGCTTCATTTCGAGCAAACTATACAAATTCTGTTGATAAAACAAGACAAAAACAATTAAAAAATTATATGATCCTCAAAAAAATAAAGTGAAACAAATGATATATTTTATATCAGCAAAGTTACCTCATCTTCTGTAAGTCTATCCAGATCTAATGCATGTATATTCTTCAAATTCTTTCCACAATTAGGAACTATATTTACTTCCTGGATGTCATTCTTACACTTTATTTTCTTTAATAATTGACTCTCTTCTATATCTTCATCATTCGGTTCAATTGGTGAATATATTTTTTCAGATGTAGATGGTGTAGGATGTGCATAAACTATCAATTTGGTTGGAGAAATTGTTACTGTAGTTGTTGCAATTGGAGTTGCTTTCACAAATACAATTTTCATCAACAAAATAAAAACAATAAATTTCTAAGAAAAATAAGATGCAATTATGTTAAAATTCATAATACCACTTTTTGAATTAAAACCTGAATATTTGCTCAGCATATCATAGATGTCAAAGGTCTGTTGTTTCTAGATAAGAAGTTCCAATCTTTTGATTACAATTTCATTTCCCTTAATATTGTCGCTTTCATTGTCCCTCTTTTTGAATCTGACCACTCAGTAGGTAATCCACCCCAGCCTTTCTTACAACCTAATAAAAAGTACCTATCATTCCACCCTCACAACTTATTGCTCAAACTTGTTAACAAGACTTTACCCTTCCTACTCTTGATAAAGTAAAAGGGACTATTGGGTTTCTTTTTAATTGCATAAAAATAGTTAAAAATAGCAAACATTGGTTCGATTGTATTCATCAAGCAAATAACTTCAAAAGCCATAACAATTTTCCAACCATTTGGATGGAGCTGGCTCGGCACTATGTTATGAGCCATCATTACTTCTTATACAAATGGAGAGAATAAAGGAACTATGCCAGATTGCTAAAATATTTCAAAAAAGGTAAAAAACCTAGAAGGAGGAATAGTGAATATAAAAAACCCAAGCGAATCACTAGGCAATATATCATAATCGTTAGAGATATTGTATTCTTTTCGGAAGTTTAGAACTTCATCAGAAAAAGTGCGCTAATTTTTAAAAAAGACATTGTCAAGAAGAAAAATCATATTAAAAACCAGTGGAATAGGAAATAACTTCACTTAACTACGAATTGGTTTTAAAAATATTGAAGCACAAATACAAATTGTATTCACAAACAAAAATAGTGATTCTTTTGTATTTTAGTAAAATGTAAGAACGAAATTTTGAATCCACAATACATAGAACAAGAACAAATACCCTAAATCCCCAAAATTATTTTAAATACATGGCAAGAAGCTAAACAGCAACGTTCTATTGAATTGTAGATTTTACAAATTTCCAAACTTTATTATACTTAATAAAGGTATATATTGTTAGAAGAACATGTCAGTGATTTATATATAGCAATTTTTTTTCTTTTATTTTTGTTCACAAACAAATTGAAATTCAATTTATTGATCTATATCTTCAACTTTTTAAAACTTCGAAAGTTGTTTTCTTAAATCCTCATTAATGATTACAATGTTCTTCTCTTAAACCCTGATTAATGATCGTACAAAATCCTTCAAATTGTATATGATTAAGCCTAGGTATTGTAAACATTCTTAAATTTTCAACTATATCGTCTGATAATTGTTGTATTGACAGTATATTAATTACATATTTGATACTTTAGTGTTTTATTTATGTAATGAATTTAATTATGTTATTAATGAAACAGTGTTAACAAAATATTTTTTAAATTAATTGATATATAAATATTTATTTTGATAGGATTTATACGTTGTTCTTGTTATTGTAATGTTTTTTTATAATCTATTGGATATTAATTGGTTGGTATATTTTATCTGGTCTCTTTGATTTGGTTCTAGTTAATGCTTCTTAACGTGAACGTATACGTTGTATGTGTTAATTATTTTTGTTATGTGAAATTAATAGAAAACATTCAAGGTGTTTATGTGAATATGAAGTGGTTGATGCATTGTACTATTGCAAAAATTGTTCGTTTTTATTGTTATGTGAATTAATAGAAAACATTCAAAGTATTTATGTTAATATGAAGTGATTGATACATTGTATGCTATGTAAATTCTCAACCAATTTACTTCTAATCACACGCACAAACCCACAAATAACACACACAAAAGAAACAAGATCAAACCAATCACAAGAACACCCAATTTACCGTGGTTCACCTTTCACAATGGAAAGATTACATCCACGTNATACATGGCTGAGCCTGATCCTGATGCCACTCAAGAAGTAAAGGATACTTATCAAAAGTTTCTTGATGATGCTAATGGCGTTCAATGCTTGATGTTAACATCGTTGACACCAATGCTGCAAAAGTAGCATGAGAATATGGACGCTGCTGCCATTATTCTACACCTCAAGGAGCTTTACGAAGGGAATGCACGACATGAGAGGTACAAGGTGTCAAAAGCATTGTTTGGAAATCGCCTGACCAAGGGAGCCCAAGTTGGCCCTCATGTACTCAAAATGATCTAGCACATGGAGAGGCTTGAGACTTTTGGGTTTGAGTTGGATGTAAAATTACAAGTGGATTTAATTCTGCAATCCTTGCCTAACTCTTATGCACCGTTCATAGTGAACTTCAATATGAACGCTATGGTGAAAACCCTATCAGAGCTTTTGAACATGCTAAGGACTGCAGAGCAAGACTTGAAGAAGTCCAAGCCTGTTTTACTGGTAGTTGCTAGTAAAGGAAAGGGTAAGGGTAAGGGTAAGGGTAAGGGTAAGGGCAAAGGAAAGGGAAAGGCCAAGGCCAATCCCAATCCCAACCCCAAGCCTAAAGGACAGGATGCTCTCAAGCCTGCGGGTGGCGTTGGGAAAGGTGGGAAGGTAGTCTGCTTCTATTGTGGCAAGCCTAGCCATTGGAGGAAGCACTGCAAGGATTTCCTCTCAAACAAGAAAAAGTCAGATGCTTCAACTTTAAGTATGTTTATGATTGAGATTAACTTCTCTCCTTCAACATCTTGGGTCATTAACACAGGATGTGGTACTCACATTTGTACTGATGTGTAGTGACTAAGATAGAGTAGATTGTTCGTTAAGAGAGAAGTGGACCTATGAGTTGGAAATGGAGCACATGTGGCTGCATTAGCTGTAGGGACTTATTGTTTGTCTTTGCCTTTAGGCTTATTATTAGAACTCAAAGATTGTTATTTTGTACCTGCAATTTCTAGAAACATTATTTCAGTATCCTCTTTGGATAATATTGGATATCGTTTTGAGATTTCTAATGGATTGTTGTCATTTAGTTTGAATGGTATTCTATTTGGAATTGCAAGGTTATATAACATATTATATGTTCTTGATTTGAACAATAAGGATATTCTCAACATTGAAACTTTTTTAGATTTCAAACTTACAAGGACGGCTCCATTTTTTGTAGGGATGTGTTTGCAAAATTTTAAACTTTTTGGACTGTCGATAGACCACCTGTTTAGCCGGTAGGACCAGGAAAACCGGGACCCAACCCCTTGGTCGGGTGACATCTTGGGTCGGGTTTCAAAACCTTCCCTGGGGACAACCGGGAGTTATTGCTAAACCCACGTAGGAGAATGAACCGTACTGTCACGTGTTACATAATCCACACACGTGCGTCGCTGCTCAACTATTAAAGGAGGCGTTACTCCGATATTTAACTAAAGTTACTAAACCGTCTCCTCCCAAAACGTCGTCATTCAGTCCCTCTATCATCCACAGAAACATGACCGCAGACACTCTCCCGTTCCAAAACGGCACTTTGTCGAACGGAGATCTGAGCTCCACGAACCCTAACTCCAACGCCGCCACCGCCACCGCCAAGAAGTCCAAAGAGAGCGAACGGCGTCGGCGCAGGCGCAAGCAGAAGAAGAACAAGGCCTCTCAGCAGGCACCTGAGTCTAATGCCGACGCCGGAAACGAAACAGACGAAGATGAAGCCAAGGAGAACGCCGATCTTCAACCACAGGTCTGGCTATACTTCTAGGGTTTTATTGTTTGTATTCTTCTTCTATTTATATGTATGCATGCGTTTATGTTTGATGATTTGAATGGAGCGTAAATTTTTAGGTTATAAGGGCTTGATTTTGGGGCAAATTAAGGTTTGCCTGAATAATAATTAGGATTCTGATTTTCTAGATAGAGTATCTATGATTTTCTTAGGCTATTGCCTTTGTTTTACTTTCATCTAGAAAAGCAATAAATAAATAACACGAAACCGGCCCTCGTAGCCGATAATAAATGGTCTGTAGAAATTATTGGGTGAATGGTAAGGAAGTGTGTCTCTCTTTGCATTCTAACTTTGGTGGTGAGGATTAAGCCATGGATAAGGATGGCGAGCTTTTGAGTTTCTTTTATGCCTTGAAGATACATATACATATTTTATATTGATCTGTGTTCAGTTTGTATCTTTCTACATTAAAATAATAAAAATAGATATGAATCTTACGACCATACTATCAAATCTCATAGGCTACTGCTGATTCTAGTTATGTGAATTTGTAATATTTTTTCTTAAATCATTGATATGAACTAAGAAGTCAAGTTTATTCAAATTAATATTATAATAAAGAAAGCAGTAGGAACTAGAATGAACAGTTGCATGCATGGGTGAACTAGTTTCTGGGTTCTGTATAGACTTGTTGTAGTTGTAGTTGGAGAGGAAGAATGGATAGGGAACTTGAAATTTTAATTGCGATTTCTGATTTTTGAGTAATTAAGGCTGAACTAGTTATACAAAATGGAGTTGTTTACATTTCCTTATCTTTCACTAATAACTTGGTACAATTGGCTAGGCGTTATATATAAAATTCTTTTTGTTTCTTTGTTAGTCTCCCTGTGTGAATATAGCCAGTGACATTTGTTTTGGTTCTTTATACATCTGCTTGGTTCAGTGCGATCATCATGACATGTGCAATTGTTTTAAATAACTTGTCAGGTTGTTGAGCAAGTTACTATTGAGTATGTACCAGAGAAGGCAGAGTTAGTAGATGGTATGGATGATGAATTTAGAAAGATCTTTGAGAAGTTCACTTTTAATGACACTGCTGGTTCTGAGGTAAATGGGTGAACTTTTAAGTCTTCTTGTTTTTTTGTTGGTTAGAATATTACTTGAAGCTGATTTTTTTTTTCCCCCAGGAGAATGATAAAACAGATGAGGCTGCCAAAAATGCAGACTCAAAGAAGAAGGCTGACTCAGATTCAGAAGATGAAGAACAGGATGACCAACAAAAAGAGAAAGGCCTTTCAAATAAAAAGAAAAAGGTTTTTGGTGCTTCATTGAAAGTTATTTTGTTCTTCATATTAATTTTATCATATAATTGTTATATTATTGTCATCATTATGTATCACTGTTTTTGTTACTATTGCTGGCATGTGACTGACAGAATTTTTTTTGAAAAAACCTTTTTTCAGCTTCAACGAAGGATGAAGATTGCTGAACTGAAACAGATCTGCTCAAGGCCTGATGTTGTTGAGGTAGTGATAAATGCCCGTATTTGTCATATTTTTATTTGGTTATTGATGTGCTCTTTCCTGCTTTTTGGTGATCTAATATGGTTTCCTCATTCTGGAGTTAGCAATAAATGTGATTGATAGCATTAATATGTGTTAACCATTTGAGAATTTGAGAACACAGATAAAAGATGTGTTAAGGATTCTATATGATATTAATCTTATTACCTAGTTCACAAGTCTTGTATTCATATACTATTTTAATCCCTTCCAATATTTGATCCTGCCACTTGTAACTGTTGATAATCTGTTTTACTTTTTGTTGTTTTTCCCTGCTCATTTAACCTTTTATTCTGTATTCAGGTTTGGGATGCAACAGCTGCAGACCCTAAGTTGCTGGTGTTTTTGAAGGCATATAGAAATACTGTTCCTGTTCCAAGGCATTGGTGTCAGAAGAGGAAATTTTTGCAGGTCAGTTATTTCTGCTAAAATTGACCAATGTGGATAAAGTTATGCATGCACAATTGATGGGATTGGTCAACATGAGGGGTTTAGGGAAGAGAGTGAGGAAAGATCAATGCGATAAAATTTCCCTTATATGTATATATGTGGTTCTTGCAGGGTAGCGGCTGTGACAACCATGGAGCCTGGACTTGTATGTGTTTTGGAAAGAGGACCTTTGAATTATATCTCTTTAAATGTATTTGCTAACGTGGGTTGGGATATAGATGTTTATCTGATGCTTTTAATGGAATTTTTTTAGTAGAATGGCATACCTTTGCATGCTAGATGTAGGAGATTTTTGTTCACTGTTGAGGTGCTAATTAGTTTGCTTTGAATTTCAGATGCCTTTCCATTGTGCCTAATGCTCGGGCTAGATTCGTATAAGATTTTAATATTTTTGAAGTTATCTGAGTTGGGTGCAGATTGATTAACTTTTGTAATTGTAAAATTTCTGGTATCTCATAAGGTTTTGGATTTTTTGTTTTCAGGGGAAGCGTGGAATTGAGAAGCAACCATTTCAGCTTCCTGATTTCATTGCCGCTACAGGAATTGAGAAAATTCGACAGGTAGCTCCAACTTTATTATTGTTTCCTTAAGTTTTTTTCTTTCTTTATGTTGAACCAAGTTTCATTTCCTGGATGCTCCATACATGATGCATGTTTTGCTAGATATTTTTCTGTATGTGTTTGTGTACATGATAAGGGCACCTAATAATGTTAATTTTTGAGGAGTTTAAAGCCTGAATTTTTTTTATCTTTTTGTTTTCTAATTCTCTTTTTACTCTAGAAATTCCCTCATTGGAGTTTTGGAAACCTTACATTGGTGCCAGTAATATTGTAATTAGAAGCTGGGCAAACATATTTTCAATCTAGATACCATTTACCTGTGTCTGTAAATATGATTCTTTGTGTTTATTCCAGTGTTGAATGCTGCCTGCTTGCTGTCCCTCTTTGTACGGTTTTTTCTAACATCTGGATTTGGGTTTTGTTTTGATTTTTTATTCCATTCTGTTTCTGTGCTGTGTTGTGAAAGGTGCTTATAACTTATTTCATTTGATTTTTCCTTGCAGGCTTACATAGAAAAAGAGGACAGTAAGAAGTTGAAACAAAAGCAGCGTGAACGTATGCAGCCAAAGATGGGGAAAATGGATATAGACTATCAGGTTTCACCTGTTTCTTGATTGATGTTATTTAGAATTATACTGTAATTTTTGCTTCTTTGCATGTTGAGTAATGTGCCTCCCCTTGCTTGTGTTTGGAATGATTATTGCCATTTTTCTGACAAGATTCTTGTTTCTGTTATTTAGGTCCTCCATGATGCATTTTTTAAGTACCAGACGAAGCCAAAACTGACAACTCATGGTGATTTGTACCATGAAGGGAAAGAATTTGAGGTGAACTTAATATGTATATTATGCTTTATATGTATTGCTGCTCATTCAGTTTGATTCTTTTACAATTTGCATGTATTTTCTGCGCTGACTGCTGTTACACAAACATGTTGGCATTACATATGACTATCATCATATCATAGCATTACAGGGAAGAAATGACATTTATGTGACTTTTAGATTCTTTTTGTTAATTATTTGTTCATGCAACTACTGAACACACCTTTTGTCATGGTCATTCTTAGTACTTTATATCTACGTAACCTAGAGGCTTGAATAAAATGATGTGGACACTTCTCTTAGATGATAGGTTTGCTTGTGATTTGATATAATGAAGTGGGGGTTTGTGCCTATTGTTTAATGGGATGGTACAGTCACCTTTTCTTTTGTTTGACCTGTAGGTGAAACTAAGGGAGATGAAGCCCGGAACATTGTCACAAGAATTAAAAGAAGCTCTTGGTATGCCAGATGGTGCTCCACCCCCATGGCTTATCAATATGCAGGTGAGTTTGGCTAAATTGTCCACTTTTGTAGCTATGATTATTTTTTTCTAACCGTGGATCTGATCATGTAGAGATATGGTCCACCGCCTTCATACCCGCATCTTAAAATTCCTGGACTAAATGCTCCTATTCCTGCTGGAGCTAGTTTTGGTTATCAACCTGGTGGCTGGGGCAAGCCTCCTGTCGATGAAGTATGTGATTTAATTAAAATTTGTCTCAAATTACTTGTATTCATCTACTATTTGGTGTATAACCAATTTCTTTTGTCACTGTAAATAGTATGGACGCCCTTTGTATGGAGATGTTTTTGGTGTTCAGCTACAAGAACAGCCCAACTATGAGGTATGAGACTGCACAATTGGGTTTGGATTGGCATATTGAATGATATATATATATATATGGAAGACACTGAACTCTAATGTAGTAAAACCCTAATCAATAGTCAAGAACGAGTAATTAAGTAAAATATTAAATTAACCTTGCATTACCCATCATCAAAGTAAAAAGACCTTGCTTTCATGCCTATACTTCTAATGTTACCACTCAATTCTATTAATTTGTGACTGGGATATGCCCACTGTAAATTTGATTCTTAATGTGGGTCCCAACCCTTTGTTGTTTTTTTTTTTTTGACATCCCTATCAGTAATGAGGAGAGACACCACTGATTATGAATGTTATTACAGCATGAAGGATATTTTGCAATCCCAAACTTTTAACTCTTGAGTACCTATTCTTGACATTGATTGACATTTTCTTTTCTGTTCTTTTCTTTTTTGTATTGATTAATCGATTTAGGAGGAGCCAGTTGACAAGACCAAGCATTGGGGTGACTTGGAGGAAGAGGAAGAAGAAGAGGAGGAGGAGGAAGAAGAAGAAATTGAGGAAGAAGAGTTAGAGGATGGTATTCAGTCTGTTGATACACTTTCAAGGTATATATTTCTTCACCTTCAGTGTGCTTTTATGTTGGTGATGTCCTGGTGCCTTGACTGCATTGTGTACGTCATGGCACTTCATGTCGTTTGCAAATAATATTTTGCCTTTCTTAATTAACATCCGTGTGATTATTATTCTATTGCATCAAAGTTCTAGCCTTGTCTTGCTTGGTTTGGCATAGTTTCTGACCATATAGTTTGCTTTTCTTAATTCAGCACGCCTACTGGTGTTGAGACACCTGATGTTATTGACCTTCGTAAGCAACAGAGAAAGGAACCGGAGAGGCCTCTATATCAAGTGAGAGAACTGCAGTTTGAAAATCTCTGCCTGTGTCACATTAATATTTCTTCATGGCATTCATGTTAGATGTTATGTCTTTCTATTTACAATTTTTTCTCCCTTGTTTCCTGTAGGTACTTGAAGAAAAAGAAGAGAGGATTGCTCCAGGGACTTTACTTGGAACAACTCACACGTACGGCATTTATTTGTTTCAGAAAATTTCTAGTTTCTGATTCCTATAAATCTGAGATATTTAATAATGATTATCATTATTTATTTTTTTATTTATTTTGGTTTACAGGTATGTGGTTAACAGTGGTACACAAGACAAGGCAGGAGCGAAAAGGGTAAGGATAAAGTTTGTTTATCCTTTGCATTAAGTTTGCCTCAGTAACACCAATTAGTAGAAAAATTAATAAATTGATTTTTCTCTCCTGTGACAGCAGAGATACTTGTCTATTGAAAATTGCGTCCTCTCTATGACTATTTACTTACTATCTTCTTTAGAAGGGAAAGATTTAGCCCTTACTGAACGGGACAGAATTAGGCCCTATTAAAAAGAATGGAAAAATTTGGCATAACATAAACACTGTCTCTTATCATATCATTTAATATTAGAAAAGTTTGTAGTAGCCAATCAGTATTTAAGCTATTTGATCTTGTTCTTATTATATCATTTNTCACATTAACATTTCTTCATGGCATTCATGTTAGATGTTATGTCTTTCTATTTACAATTTTTTCTCCCTCGTTTCCTGTAGGTGCTTGAAGAAAAAGAGGAGAGGATTGCTCCAGGGACTTTACTTGGAACAACTCACACGTACAGCATTCATTTGTTTCAGAAAATTTCTAGTTTCTGATTCCTATAAATCTGAGATATTTAATAATGATTATCATTATTTATTTATTTATTTATTTTGGTTTACAGGTATGTGGTTAACAGTGGTACACAAGACAAGGCAGGAGCGAAAAGGGTAAGGATAAAGTTTGTTTATCCTTTTCATTAAGTTTGCCTCAGTAACACCAATAAGTAGAAAAATTAATAAATCGATTTTTCTCTCCTGTGACAGCAGAGATACTTGTCTATTGAAAATTGCGTCTTCTCTATGACTATGTACTTACTATCTTCTTTAGAAGGGAAAGATTTAGCCCTTACTGAAAGGGACAGAATTAGGCCCTATTAAAAAGAATGGAAAAATTTGGCATAACATAAACACTGTCTGTTATCATATCATTTAATATTAGAAAAGTTTGTAGTAGCCAATCAGTATTTAAGCTATTTGATCTTGTTCTTATTATATCATTTAATATTAGAAATGTTTGTAGTAGCCAATCAGTATTTAAGCTATTTGATCTTGTTCTTGAATAACTTGCCTTGCTTGAAGTTTATGGATGTGATAATTCATGTTAGAAATAAGGTAGCACACGTATTAGCAGTTTACTATTTTCTTATCCACTGTGAAAGGTTATATAACTGATGCTTGGTGTAATGAAAACTCTGGAGATTAGTTTATTTATTTATTTTTGGATAGTTACTTGGAATCATTGCCATTTCCATTTCCTTGATCATTATCATTGGTTGATCACTATAAATCTTTTTTGTTGTTTATTTTGGCAGGTTGATCTTCTTAGAGGGCAAAAATCAGATCGAGTTGACGTCACTCTACAGCCAGAAGAACTTGAGCTTATGGACAATGTTCTGCCTGCAAAGTAAGTCGAAGACCCTTGTGAATTTGATATGTTACTGCTGGTGTATTAGTATCTTCTAGTACAAAGTGGGTTAATTATTTTTTTGAATTCCACAGATATGAGGAAGCAAGGGAGGAGGAGAAACTCCGTAGTCAGCGTGAGGATTTCAGTGACATGGTTGCCGAGGTGCACCTTTTAACTATTTGTTACAGCATCCATTTCAGGAAATGACATTAGATTGTAGTCCATTGCTATTTCCCTCATTAAATAATTACCCCCTTCTACCAACCCAATCATAAGTACAGATGGAATCCTTTTTGGTTGGGAGATAAATTGAGGATGAATATTTTTGTTGTTCCTGAGTTGATATGTTATGTTGATAAAATGAGTGTGTGATTGTGCAGAATGAGAAGAAGAGGAAGCGGAAAATGCAGGAAAAGGAAGGAAAGTCAAAGAAGAAGGATTTCAAATTTTAGAGTGGACAATGGGTGTTGTTTTAGTTAGTGAAAGCAGAGAGTTTGAAATCAGGAATGCGCAGACACAAATTTTGTTTTGGTTGGAGCTCTCGTTATCCGGAGAATAATTGCCAATTGGTGTAAACAAATTTGTATTAAATGTTGTCATCTATCACTAATTAACATAGACATAGTTTTGGTGTAAGATTTTAAATATATATACATGAGTAGAGTTGGATGTATGGCAACTTTTAAAAATGATGAAGGTTGTGGTGAATTGTGCGGTTGATTTATTAACTTTTGGAAGAAAAGGAGATCCAATCCAATGCTAAAAGTTGTAGACTATAAAGTCATTCTTCGTCATCATCAAAAGCAAAATAGGTACACTGTTTCCCCCAATAGAGGAAAGAGCCTTAGATGTCAAGTAATCCTCTACTGCTTCTATCTCTTCTCTAGTGCAATATTTTATTCTAAATTTGAAGCTAAATTGTGATGTAACATGTGTAGACATACTTAGCAGGGAGAGTTTTTTGAGTTTTGAGTTTTAAATGAAGTGCAACGTCTCGTCAATTCAATGAGGGGAGCTGTCAAGCCCTAGTTTTATTCTATTTTTGCTAAATTTCAATTTTAGTTTGTAATTGTGGTGACCTTGTCCTTTTTAGCCTGAGTTCACATTCATTTTAATTGTATTCCTTTCTTCCTCCTCACTCTCTTCTTTCCATCACACCATGACCCACCACACCAAACAAACATTTATATGTTATTAAAGTAAGTTCCTTAGCCCTAAAGATTATATGTAATCACCGCCTTATGGTCATGGGTTACATAACCCTGTTTGGAGATAGATGTTTTGTTTAAATTGTCTTGTCGAGCATCACTATGTTTTACTTGGATTCAGTTTTGGCACTTTCTGCCGCCCCCTATCATATACCCATCAATATGATTTTCTGGGTTGCGTCCAATTGCAGCTTATAATTCACTTCTCATCATTTGCATACAATTTTGAGATGAAATTTCAGAAGTTTGAATAATGTTGGAGGAAAGAAGAAGAGGTTCATTAAATTAATAATATGGTTAATGAGAATAATATTATTGTGGTTGAGATGAAGAGGGCACAGCCACATATTCAATCAGGTGGCCACTAGATATTCATGCCAGTACCAACACCATCCGATTCCAGCCAAGCCCACTGAATAATGAAAATGATTGAAAAATAAAGGTTTTTAAAGTCAAAATCCCAACCATTAGTTGACTAAAAATCAATTAATGATGATAGATAAAAGCAAGATTAATAATTTCATAATTGTAAGTACAACTGTACAAGTACCCAATCATACTTGTTCCAAAAGTCATTACCACTGCAATTATAAAATCATGTTACATGAAGCTCTTCATGCTCTGTTCTTCAAAAGTAATAGATTTGCCAGCTAGTTGAAACTGGATTTGATTCTGAATATATATATATATATATCCTTTAGATTTGACGCTCACATAAATTGAACTTATTAATAATTAACAATATAATTATCAACTTCAAGAGGTTAATCTAGTGGTAAGGAGGTTTATTTCATTCCTTGAGTTTTTAGGTTTAAATCTTGGGGTCACCTGTTACAATAATATTGTAGCTTACTTGATCCTTAGTCCTTTGGGTTTATAAAATATTCAATGGACTTTGACGTAAACTAGCCCAAGACACTCCGGTTACCCAAAAAAGAAAAAAAATGTAACTATCACTTTCCCATGGAGAGAGCATGTGGTCTCAGCAACAGCGTGTTAAACTGGTTAGATAGCCATGATTATTGATACCTCACCAGTTCATCTTTTGATTAAATTAAAAAAGGAAATTAATGAAAGTGATGATCCAAAGTGAACTGAATTTTCATCAAGCAGCTTACCACCTACCTGGAACCATCAATTGCACTAGGCCATGCCTGCACCTTATGGTGTGGCGACACGTGCCCTTTGATTAATTAAAAAAATTTATGATGAAATTGATACTAAACCTATTCTTGTTCTTGACATTATAATGAGTGTGAATTATTAACATAAAGTAGTAAAGTGGCATGATGAGTTTGTTTAGGCTGCAAGATTAGACTAATTCTTATTAAATTTATTAAGTTTGATTAATTAAATATATAATAAGGTCACTTTCTAATTAAATTGTTTTTTTTGGAAGAGATGATCCACATTCTATTTTGTCGTTTTGAAAATGTTGAAAACGCCCTTGCAAGCAACTTTACCTAACCAACCGACCAACCTATATAAATATTATTGTTTATTTGTATTCACATTCCTTCAAGAATCCACTGCATTTGTTTACATTAAAACTTACTCTTTGATTGTGCCCTAATTATGTGCACGTGGCTCTTTTATAATCCTGTTTATTTGACTCCCAACTTGCTTAAATCATTCTTCATGTATTATTGTTTTTTTAGTAATCGGAGGTATTCAGGTCAACATGCGCACACCTTAACTAAACTCTCCAACCTTGAAGTAAAAGATTGAATAAATTCTTTCAGTGATCACCCCTATTAATGTCTAGAAAGATTCAAACTCAAGAACTCATGATAGACTCCTTTGCTATTTTATTATCAAACCATCTGTAATGATTTTCTTCATATATTGTTGAATTCACATTGAGCTTGCATGGTTTGAACCAAATATTCTAGATGGGTTTACTTCAAGGTTGATCAGAGTTGACGCTTTGGTCACAATTGATATGATTTTGTTAGTGTAGGTAAAAGTAGACTCAAAGGATTCTAATTTAGTAGTCAAAATTTTGACCTCGGTTTTCTTGGTTTGCAATTAATTAAATGTATGTGCAGGTGAGAGGACGTAAGTTTATTAGTGTTAGGGTTGTTGACAAGTCTTTAACCAAATTAATATGCTTTCCAGTAGAGTGTTATGAGGGAGTGACTGATGAAAGAGCCATTTTGGATATATGATGATGATGACGGTTGTTGTGGCATGCTAGACAAAACAAAATCTTGTCATTTCATGGGCGGTGACTACTAATTTGACACCTATAGACCATATCTATAGCACTGTGCTTTGTTTCCTACTGTCCTTTCTCAGTGGCAATTATACAAACATATATTACTCATCACTACTGTCATTTCTCAGAGACATTTCTACAAACACAATGTAACAGATTGTGGTATTATTACCATTCTCTACCTTCAATAATGTAATGCTAACACACATGGCCATGGCCGAGCCTCCTCGCCACTCTAAAACATGAACACACATGTGCATTGGCCCATGCATGCCGTTTGCTTCATCACTAACCTCTCATCTTTCTAATTCTACCCCACCAATAATCACGTGATGCCAACTGTTTCAAATCATGGGTCCCTTCACCACCACCATCTACACTACACTATTATCCGACTCTCAACTTTGATCATCTCATCTCTAAATATCATTATCAAATTAGTTTGTTAGATGAATATTATGTGTTTTCCGATCACTAACGTAAAGATGGGTGTTCTCTCCTAATGCAGTAGAATATTGGAGAACATATTCTATTTTTTTCGGCGAAAACTATGGTTGAAATATCCCTTTTAGCCTTATGCAAAACAATCTTAACTTCAATCCACTCATGGCTAGCCTTGCAGTAAAGGTGAACCAAATGGGTTATGTATCGCTTCAATATATAGTCTTTAAGTTCGATTTTCTGTTGATTGTAAAAATAATATTTTGTTCATGATTTTATTTGGGAGTCAACGGTAGATTATTATGGGATAGATTTCTCTTAAGATAAGTATTAAAAATAAAAATCTTAATTGTGTCTTGTCCTCTACATCTAGGGAGTTTTGGAGGGGCAATAGAGATAGATATACTACTTACACGTAATTGATGGTGATATCTGTAATATAGTTTAAATATTGTAGCATAGATATAGAGTGAACATCTACACCTCCTTTACAGCCTATATAGACAAAGCACTATCAACGGCCTAGGGGCATCCACGTGTAAGTAATCAAACATTCACCTTCAAGGCTAAGTAAGTATGTCAGTGTATCTCCATTTGTTGCCCTATTTAAAATGTGTTACCAAGGCTTTTGCATATTTTATTAGAGCTCTTCCCCATCTTCATATTCTCATAATTATTTCCTTTTACAGATAGAGCAAAGCATATTATACAATACAAGATAATCCCTCAAAGACATGCTCACCTCTCATCACCGTCCTAAACATTTCCTTCTCTTTAACTCCTCTCCATCACCAAATTTCTCAGCTGCTTCTCTAATAACTATCTCTCTCATCTCCTTCTTGTTATTCTTCAGATTGATCTCTCTTCTTGCTCCTCGCTCCAAAGGATAGAGTTTCAGTTTCTTTATTATTTGATCATCATAATATTGTTTTGCTTTTTGTTTTAGGGTTCTTGAGTTGATCTTCAGGTATATTAATTAAGAACATACGCATGGGGTTAAGTTCTAAACAAGTTTCTCGTGATGGATTTGGTTGGAGCCAGGCTTTGTTGCAAACTCAAACCTTAGAGCTCCCGAAGCCTGCGTCACTGAAGCGGCAACACCCACAAAATCAGCAGCAGGCAGACCCATTGAAGTGTCCGAGGTGTGATTCCACAAACACAAAATTTTGTTACTATAATAACTACAACAAGTCACAGCCTAGGCACTTTTGTAAAACCTGCAAGAGGCACTGGACTAAAGGTGGCACTCTCCGCAATGTTCCTGTTGGTGGTGGCCGCAAAAACAAGCGTCTCAAAACTTCAAACAACGCCACCAACAACACCACTACAAGCACCACCGCAACAACTGCCACTGGCAGTATCAACAATAGGGTTTATAATACCCAACTGGCAATTCAATGTCAGCAGCCTAGAGAGAACCTTTCTTTTGCAATTGATGATCAGAAGAACTTGTCTGGCATGCTTTATCAAGCGTTGCTTCGTCCTCCATCTACACTCTTTCAACAAGATCTTGTCAACTCTGGCAACTTGGACGTTAAAGATATGAGCCCCAACAATAGTGTTTTTATTGGTTCAAGTGTTTCTATGGCGCCTCAAAATCAAAGCTTGCACCTTCCTTATGCAAGCTCAAGTTCTTTTGATACAACACAATCTTCAATATCAACCTCTTTTCAATCCTCAAATGTTTATAAATACCCAGGAGAAACCATGGAGGATCCAACCATGCCAACCACAAGCACCAGAGTCACGCAGCCATGGGCTCAAACAGCAACTACAAGCAGTGGAATGGACATGGGAAATTACTGGAACTGGGATGACATTGACACGTTAGTCTCTACTGATCTCAACATATCGTGGGATGATTCTGATATCAAACCGTAATTAACTATATATTAGTAGTGTCTCTAGATCTTTTTCTTCATGAGTTGGGGTGTTTGTGTTTTTGTTAGAGGATCAATGAGTCTATTTTCTTTAGGTTAATTAATTAATCATAAAATGTACAGTCATATCTCTCAACCTTATGTAACTGTTAAATGAGATGTAGACTGATAGAAGCTGCCCTTTTTTTATTAAAGAATTAGTGTCTCCATTTGTCATTTGTGTGAGACTCTCTCTTGTTTCTTCCGAGAAAAAAAGAAAAAAGAAAGAATGTAAAGACAGGTTAGGGAGAGTTGTCGACTCTATGATATAGAATTAAAGTGATATAATTGTGACCACATTTCAAAGGCATATGAGAGTTGGATTTTTACAGCCAGGGGGTGAGTGGTGATAGTAGATGTGATGGAAGATTCTTGTGGACATGTATATTTGATTTTGGATATCTGAATAATATTGTATTCCATAGGATTTGTTTGCTCATAATTCATGTCCACTTATTGAGAATCATTCTCTTTTGTTGTAAAGTACTGTATGTTTTCCAATTCTATCTACTTATTTATGTTAAAATCTCTTTCATATATAATATATTTGCTCAATTCCCATCCATTCATTCCTCTACTAAACATGTGCATGTTGGGGCCACACAAGGTTTGTTTTTGTTTAGTTTAAGATCACTGAGTAAACTAACTGGGGGTTAATTAACCCAGTAATTAACTTGGGCAAAAATCTTGAATTCATCATCTACATCAATCGTATTCTTTTTATAAACGTAGACAGACAATGGTTTGTAGTACGTTTACGTTTAACTTCCCTGATAGTGATATAACGAAACAGAGAGAGAGGATAAAAAAGAACTCCAAAATGAACATGACATATCTTGTCCTTCACATGAGAATTAGCTGCCATCATGAAATTTGCAACTTTATGCACGTTTTGCATGGGCTGTGTGTCAGATTCAATGGTCACGGTGGAATGGTGAGTCTTGGGCAATGTCAATGGTGACGTCGTCTCTGCTGCTACTATTGATATTGGAGCCAGGCATATGTCATTGTAGCACTTAAATTAAAAACTTTTGGAAGTGAGAGCTTTAAATTTTCATGATCAGGACTCTTATTTGGTTCATTGTCAAGAAACAAGTAAACAGCAAGAATTGTTAGTGGAAGTGAATCCCAAGTCACAAGAAAGACATCAAACTTCTAATCATATCTTAATTGCCAAGATAACCATTTCCTGCTTCCGTGGATATCTTCTCTTCCACTTCTAAGGCTGATTGTGGATCCTATTCCTACCCTCTGAAAACTAAGAATCAACATCAAAATTTTCTAAGTCTAGATTCATAATCAAATGTTATGACTTGGCACATTCATCAAGTGGAGCAGGGTATTCAGTAAGACAACATCAACTTGAAGAATTGAGAAAAAAAAAAATATATATATATATATCCTGAAGGCTAAGTACCTTCACATTCAAGAGTCAGAGAATTTCTCATCAAAATAGAATAAAAAATCTGAGGTTTACATCAGGAGACGCTAAAATGGAAATGTTAAGATCTGCATCCAGAGAGTAGTAGCAGGCACAAATTTAAAAGGACTAAAAAGATGATATGAAAAACAACAGAAGATCAGTAAGATCATCAATCAATTCCATATGCTAAATAAAGGTATACTAAATCACAAGCCTAGACACAGTACGTACTTCATATCATAATACCGAAGCCAACTGACTAGCAAAATTACATACTAAAACATTTCTAACCGTCCAGACTCAGTTCAGCTATAAGTTTCCCATCCTCACGCCAGTGTCTCTGCTGTAGGGAGCCTGCCCATCATTAGCTCTGGAAAAGCTAACATAGTACAGCTCAGAGATTATGCCTGTTAAGACGATGAAGGCAGCGCCAGCTCCAAACACTCCCTTTCTCAAAGTCTGACATGATGGGGGATTGCCCAAGGAACTCCTGTATTTGGTGTGGTAGGCATTTCGCACTGACCCCGCTAGCAAACAAACCTCAGCAATAAAAAAGAACACCCTGAAATACCATTTTTAATGAGTAAATTGAAAAATATGGGAAATTTGATATTCCCTACCCTAGACAAGATTTGCAAGCAAAAAAAAAAAAAAAAGAAAAAAAAAAAGGGAATTTATAAAGACGTAAGACAAGTTTTATTCTGAGAGCATTAACAAATTATTTGATATGAACTTTGTGATAAGCACATACCAGCAGGTGATAAATAAGACAATGGCCCATGCCCTGGCCCCACTAGGTCTCATAGCCTTCCCACAGCACAAGCATCGACTTGCCACCATAATAAGGATTTGACTAGCTAAAAGAAACAGGAACGAACCCGCTCCTAAGCCAGTCGAAATATCCTTGTCATATTTACAGTAGGTATAACCAGGACCATCAGCGATTTCAGCCTGTCAAAGGAGTCAACAAGTAATGAGTTGGACGCTGGCTATACTGTAATACAAAACAAGTGTTTGGCTTGCAATTGCTGTAATCCATTAGGGAAATGAAATTAGATAACTCTCTAAGTTTTATGAGGCGGCACAAAAGATTAGTTAAGAACTTCAGTTTAATCAAATTGTTTCCAGGAAATTGCCAGAACTCAAATTTAGTGAAGTTTGAAACTGAATTAATCTTGACCAGGAAGCTGACAGGCTTCTGCACATGTTGGAAATTCGAAATCCAGTAGTATATTTAGTTAAAATTATAGCGGAAACCTAAGGAAACTAAAACAAAACAAGAGATATGTACCAAAACGAAGTGAAACTATTTTACAGCTAAAACTTGCAGCTAATTAGTTCATTCACCCTGTCCCAATTTCACGAAATTCATCACAACTTCCCGACTATATTAATCTTTTCAATGGTCTTCTACTCCAGAAACGTAAACTTTTCAGCCAAACCTAAAGTATCCAAATATATTTCCAATTTCAACGCCCTAATAAGAATTCAAAATCAAAATCTGTAAAATTACTCCAACCAAGTGCATGGCTCACATCGAACTCTTCCATGTGCCCACACAGAGAAATGGCCATCTTTCTGGGAGGTTTTTCACTTCGGTTTTTTTTTTTTTTTTTTTTTGGTTCTATTTGAAGACAGATTTCATAGTTTGCTTATCAACAAGTATGCACTAAATCTATAACCAAATGGTTAACTCTCTTCTTTAAATTTTAAGAGAACAATCAACAACCAACTACCAGTTTGACTTCCGAAAAAATTATNACTTCTAAGGCTGATTGTGGATCCTATTCCTACCCTCTGAAAACTAAGAATCAACATCAAAATTTTCTAAGTCTAGATTCATAATCAAATGTTATGACTTGGCACATTCATCAAGTGGAGCAGGGTATTCAGTAAGACAACATCAACTTGAAGAATTGAGAAAAAAAAAAATATATATATATATATATATATATATCCTGAAGGCTAAGTACCTTCACATTCAAGAGTCAGAGAATTTCTCATCAAAATAGAATAAAAAATCTGAGGTTTACATCAGGAGACGCTAAAATGGAAATGTTAAGATCTGCATCCAGAGAGTAGTAGCAGGCACAAATTTAAAAGGACTAAAAAGATGATATGAAAAACAACAGAAGATCAGTAAGATCATCAATCAATTCCATATGCTAAATAAAGGCATACTAAATCACAAGCGCAGACACAGTACGTACTTCATATCATAATACCGAAGCCAACTGACTAGCAAAATTACATACTAAAACATTTCTAACCGTTCAGACTCAGTTCAACTATAAGTTTCCCATCCTCACGCCAGTGTCTCTGCTGTAGGGAGCCTGCCCATCATTAGCTCTGGAAAAGCTAACATAGTACAGCTCAGAGATTATGCCTGTTAAGACGATGAAGGCAGCGCCAGCTCCAAACACTCCCTTTCTCAAAGTCTGACACGATGGGGGATTGCCCAAGGAACTCCTGTATTTGGTGTGGTAGGCATTTCGCACTGACCCCGCTAGCAAACAAACCTCAGCAATAAAAAAGAACACCCTGAAATACCATTTTTAATGAGTAAATTGAAAAATATGGGAAATTTGATATTCCCTACCCTAGACAAGATTTGCAAGCAAAAAAAAAAAAAAAAGAAAAAAAAAAAGGGAATTTATAAAGACGTAAGACAAGTTTTATTCTGAGAGCATTAACAAATTATTTGATATGAACTTTGTGATAAGCACATACCAGCAGGTGATAAATAAGACAATGGCCCATGCCCTGGCCCCACTAGGTCTCATAGCCTTCCCACAGCACAAGCATCGACTTGCCACCATAATAAGGATTTGACTAGCTAAAAGAAACAGGAACGAACCCGCTCCTAAGCCAGTCGAAATATCCTTGTCATATTTACAGTAGGTATAACCAGGACCATCAGCGATTTCAGCCTGTCAAAGGAGTCAACAAGTAATGAGTTGGACGCTGGCTATACTGTAATACAAAACAAGTGTTTGGCTTGCAATTGCTGTAATCCATTAGGGAAATGAAATTAGATAACTCTCTAAGTTTTATGAGGCGGCACAAAAGATTAGTTAAGAACTTCAGTTTAATCAAATTGTTTCCAGGAAATTGCCAGAACTCAAATTTAGTGAAGTTTGAAACTGAATTAATCTTGACCAGGAAGCTGACAGGCTACTGCACATGTTGGAAATTCGAAATCCAGTAGTATATTTAGTTAAAATTATAGCGGAAATCTAAGGAAACTAAAACAAACCAAGAGATATGTACCAAAACGAAGTGAAACTATTTTACAGCTAAAACCTGCAGCTAATTAGTTCATTCACCCTGTCCCAATTTCACGAAATTCATCACAACTTCCCGACTATATTAATCTTTTCAATGGTCTTCTACTCCAGAAACGTAAACTTTTCAGCCAAACCTAAAGTATCCAAATATATTTCCAATTTCAACGCCCTAATAAGAATTCAAAATCAAAATCTGTAAAATTACTCCAACCAAGTGCATGGCTCACATCGAACTCTTCCATGTGCCCACACAGAGAAATGGCCATCTTTCTGGGAGGTTTTTCACTTCGGTTTTTTTTTTTTTTTTTTTTTGGTTCTATTTGAAGACAGATTTCATAGTTTGCTTATCAACAAGTATGCACTAAATCTATAACCAAATGGTTAACTCTCTTCTTTAAATTTTAAGAGAACAATCAACAACCAACTACCAGTTTGACTTCCGAAAAAATTATAGCCATCTCTCTTCTAATTGAAAAACGTTAACTTTCAGATCTAGCAACTCATATAGTTTTCTTTTGATTATTATATAGAGTAAAAGATCCCAAAATAATCAAACAACAAAATGTTTCAACAACTGGGTCATCGCTATAAATTAATTAAACAAACAAAAAATAAGTTAAACGCCACACCACATACAAAAACAAAAACAAAAACCCACACCAAAAACAAAAACAAAAAAAGAAAACTCACAGTAGACCTCCTCTGCTCAGCTGCAACCGCAAGTCCAAAAGCAATCAGATCAAACACAAACACAACCAACAACAACAACTTTGAAGCCATTTCTGCGTGAAGCCAAAAGTCCCAACTTCGAAGCGTTAGATAAAAAGCAGAAGCGAAAACTTATTGATAATAAATAAATGGAAATTTATGGGCAGATATAAATATGAATTATAGGAGAATTGCACACGCTGCTTTTTGTTTGTGTAGTTTAATACTTTAATTTAATGGATGGTTTTACGTCTCAGGGAAGTAAAGTGTTATGTGTTGAATAATCAAATAATATATACGGCAAAGACAAGACGGCGAGATTCTCTCTAATCTATCACTAAACTTAAACTACGAGGTTAATGTAATGATATACGACAAGTGTGTTTTCCTAGGTTTTAGTTGATTCTGGTCCATGCTTATCTCTTTGAAATTAAATTAGGGTTTTCTATTTTATTCAACTCTGCTTCAACATTTAATTATTATTATTATTATTATAAACTATTTTTGAGTGGTTAAGTAGTTCGATAGGAATTTTTGAGTGTATTATTCAAAAGATCTTGAGTTCGAATCCATCATCAGTTCCTAATAGGGGTAGTTATTGAAGTTTTTATTCAGTTGATAGTTTCAAAGTCTTAAAAAATTAGTTAAGTTATATATAAGTTGGACACTTCAGTCATAATAATAATAATTATTATTATAATTAAAAGTAGAATTAAGTTGTTAATTTAAAAAAAAAAATTATTATTAGATAGATTTATGATATCCATTTTAATAAAAGAAACCAATTTAGAGGTGAATTCTTATGAGTCATGATATTAGGAGGTGAAGGGTGGAGCCATATCCACCACTAAATACGCTCTTCACTCCCACTTTCTAAAGTGGATATTCAATTAAATCATCTTCTCAATTTTGAACAGAGTCCAAAATATCATCAAATACAAATAAAATTTTCATAAGCTATGGCCTGTCTAACCTCATTAACAATACAACATTGCTCCTAATCCTATTTGTACTAAACAATCAATCAGTTTAAGTTTGACTGTAAACTTGATCATAAACTAACATGTAGTGAACACATTTTGGCAAATCAATGAAATCTCATTAGAAGAATGTGAACACATACCATAATTACATCAAATTTACATGGTGGTGTGTTATAGCTGACTCTTTTAACATTTTAACCCTGACTTCCTGCACCTGTTTTCTGCTGATGCTCTTTCTTCAGAGCCTTGAATTTAGACGCCACTTCATCATAGTCAGGGAGCTTCGGGTGTACATGGCTATGGGAGCCACGCGAAGATGTACAACTGGCTATGGGATTTTCATTATGGAATTTCATAACACTATGGTAACATGGATGCTCCAGGGAGCAGTTCAATTCTATGTCCTCGCTGAATCTGCATCTGCAGTATGATTTTCTATGTTTAAATTTGCACTTTCTAGATGGGAGACCATATTGATGGCAGTAGGATTTCTCATTCTCTGATAATTTGAAAAAAAGTTCATACTCTTGTCCACATTCAATACAGTTCACCATCAATACTGGTGATGAACAAGATCGGTACAGTTCACTCTCCTTAGAATCAATTCCTTTCCATGTCTTTCCATTTGATTTCATACGAGATTTCCTTAAGGATACCATGTCATTGGGCGATCCAGGTCTATCAGTTTCATGTTCACCATAATCATAGCCAGATAAAAATAAGAAGCTTCCTCCACCAATTGTATAACAGTCTCCTAATGGCAAAATGGATGAATCAAAGAAGAGAAATTTTCTTTTGTCCCCATCACACTCATCCTGTACCGTGCAAAATTGGAACTCCTGTACTTCCTCAAACTTGACAGTACCATTGTGAAACTGAATTGAGTCTTCCATGGAGAATGTAGAAAGCTTCATTTCAGGTTGATAAAAACTTCCAACTACATTAGAACTCTCCATTTTTGTTGCACTTTTATGCATTGGAGTCAATTGAGGTGGCTCAACTATCAATTTTACAGGCCTTTCAGTAAGTTCATCTGCCTCTTCGTTGAAGACAAATCCTTCCCATTGACAATCGTTATTTCCACACAACTGGATTAAGATCATACAAGTTAATTAATCAATTCCGAAATTTATCAAACATTGAGGCCTTTGGTTAAAATATGAGTGCTTGTGGCATAGACATACCTTTGATAGATTTAGGAGGCTGTATTCCTTGGCTATTTCATCTATCAATCTTACTTTAGCATTTTCTGGAATTGATTTTATACAGAGTNTCTCTTTGAAATTAAATTAGGGTTTTCTATTTTATTCAACTCTGCTTCAACATTTAATTATTATTATTATTATTATAAACTATTTTTGAGTGGTTAAGTAGTTCGATAGGAATTTTTGAGTGTATTATTCAAAAGATCTTGAGTTCGAATCCATCATCAGTTCCTAATAGGGGTAGTTATTGAAGTTTTTATTCAGTTGATAGTTTCAAAGTCTTAAAAAATTAGTTAAGTTATATATAAGTTGGACACTTCAGTCATAATAATAATAATTATTATTATAATTAAAAGTAGAATTAAGTTGTTAATTTAAAAAAAAGAAGGGAAATTATTATTAGATAGATTTATGATATCCATTTTAATAAAAGAAACCAATTTAGAGGTGAATTCTTATGCGTCATGATATTAGGAGGTGAAGGGTGGAGCCATATCCACCACTAAATACGCTCTTCACTCCCACTTTCTAAAGTGGATATTCAATTAAATCATCTTCTCAATTTTGAACAGAGTCCAAAATATCATCAAATACAAATAAAATTTTCATAAGCTATGGCCTGTCTAACCTCATTAACAATACAACATTGCTCCTAATCCTATTTGTACTAAACAATCAATCAGTTTAAGTTTGACTGTAAACTTGATCATAAACTAACATGTAGTGAACACATTTTGGCAAATCAATGAAATCTCATTAGAAGAATGTGAACACATACCATAATTACATCAAATTTACATGGTGGTGTGTTATAGCTGACTCTTTTAACATTTTAACCCTGACTTCCTGCACCTGTTTTCTGCTGATGCTCTTTCTTCAGAGCCTTGAATTTAGACGCCACTTCATCATAGTCAGGGAGCTTCGGGTGTACATGGCTATGGGAGCCACGCGAAGATGTACAACTGGCTATGGGATTTTCATTATGGAATTTCATAACACTATGGTAACATGGATGCTCCAGGGAGCAGTTCAATTCTATGTCCTCGCTGAATCTGCATCTGCAGTATGATTTTCTATGTTTAAATTTGCACTTTCTAGATGGGAGACCATATTGATGGCAGTAGGATTTCTCATTCTCTGATAATTTGAAAAAAAGTTCATACTCTTGTCCACATTCAATACAGTTCACCATCAATACTGGTGATGAACAAGATCGGTACAGTTCACTCTCCTTAGAATCAATTCCTTTCCATGTCTTTCCATTTGATTTCATACGAGATTTCCTTAAGGATACCATGTCATTGGGCGATCCAGGTCTATCAGTTTCATGTTCACCATAATCATAGCCAGATAAAAATAAGAAGCTTCCTCCACCAATTGTATAACAGTCTCCTAATGGCAAAATGGATGAATCAAAGAAGAGAAATTTTCTTTTGTCCCCATCACACTCATCCTGTACCGTGCAAAATTGGAACTCCTGTACTTCCTCAAACTTGACAGTACCATTGTGAAACTGAATTGAGTCTTCCATGGAGAATGTAGAAAGCTTCATTTCAGGTTGATAAAAACTTCCAACTACATTAGAACTCTCCATTTTTGTTGCACTTTTATGCATTGGAGTCAATTGAGGTGGCTCAACTATCAATTTTACAGGCCTTTCAGTAAGTTCATCTGCCTCTTCGTTGAAGACAAATCCTTCCCATTGACAATCGTTATTTCCACACAACTGGATTAAGATCATACAAGTTAATTAATCAATTCCTAAATTTATCAAACATTGAGGCCTTTGGTTAAGATATGAGTGCTTGTGGCATAGACATACCTTTGATAGATTTAGGAGGCTGTATTCCTTGGCTATTTCACCTATCAATCTTACTTTAGCATTTTCTGGAATTGATTTTATACAGAGTGTTATGCCTAAAAAATACAAGGGTTGACGTAAGGTCCAATCAACATGCAAGAGTCAGATCATGGGAACGCCCGCAGCCTGCTTCTGTCAGAATAGTGGCTGTGATGATCCCACGTGTCCAATCCCTACTCCAAATCGCACAAATCTCTATAGAAGGTGGGCAATGTGACATAAAGAAAGATTTTGCATGGATAATCTCACCAACCCACAGATTCAGTGATGATTGCCTCAATCCATTCATCTATAAATTGAGAGCCCCTCTCTCATTGAAGGGGATTTGCATATTTTACATTTGATTAGCTACTCTCTCTCTCTCTCTCTCGCTCTCTCTCTCTAGAATTTCCAGCATTTGATACCTTGTATTACCATTGTAAAGTCAGTCAGCTAAAGCGACCTGACCCTTATCATCAATATAAGAGTCAGTGGACGTAGGACTTGCTACCTTAGCATTCGAACCACTTTAAAAACTGTCCCCATTGCATTTACTGTCATTTTCCTTTACATTCACGTGTGCCTTTTGGGCCAGCTCAACATTTCACACGTGTATTTCATTGGTGTAAAAATCACACATCAACAGTTTAGCGCTAGAAGGGGGCCCTGATTTAGTGTTCATTCTTCATCAAGGGAATCTCCAACTCACGGGTCCTACAACAGTAAATGGCCCCCCTAACCAGAACCTGAGCAAATCAACCAGGGCGCCGAGGGGCTCCCCTAAGTCCAAGGGGACACTTCTTCCAAAAAAGCTTCAGCCCCGCAAAATGCTACAGGGGATATCCCGTCAAGTTCACAACTTCACCCCGCCATCAGAAACTACCTGGAGAGGTTTGACAATACTTTCCAGACGGTTAGTCGAAGGTTAGACTGTTTGGACCAAGGCGTGCCATCCAAGTTAGCTGCGGCGGTGCAACCGCAAAAAACGCCTGCAGGTTGCACGAAAGCAAGACAAAGGGAAATAGCCCGTGCCGTGAACACTGTAGCGCATAGATGAAAGGGTAAGCAAGTGGCAAAAAACAAGCCCACGGGCTCCAAAGGGCCAGCAAACACCGATCGCGTCCCAAACAGAATACCAGTCTCATTGAGACTCGGTAAAAAGACACAGCCCGAGTTGTTCCATGCCATGTCGTAAATACACACCCATAAAAGTGCTGGACAAGGCGATTCTTATCACTGCCAGCAAAACGATCCTAATCGTCACCGTGCGAGAGGGTCCCACACTTTGCAGGGCAGTTCTTACCACCGCGAAGGTCGTGAAAATACCCTGCACCTTTCGTCGCCATCACATAC